AAGTTTCAAGTTAAGATATTTAATCAGCTTTTGAGTGTTATTATCTGACTTGATGATATACAAATGGTTTTTGTCCTCTTTAAATAATGTTATTATATGCAATAAATCAAATCAAAGACTGGACTGATGTCAACTTTAAAGCAGTAGATTATTTGTCCTATTTTTTTTTCAACTATAGAAAATCGCTTCATAGTTTATTAAGAAAACATTCGAATACAGACTTTATGAGTAGAGACCGGAGGTACCTAATCTATCTACCTAAATAGATACATATACTAGAACATTTAACTAAAAATTAATTTTAAGAAGACTCATTTAATAAGAAAGTTTCAACACTAATTAATGTACAAAATGCCAATACATAAAAACGGTGAATCGAAGGTAAAAAGGAAAAGAATTAACATGTCAAGCGGATAATTTTATAATTTTTCATAAACATGTTTAGCAGAATTTTACAATGTAAACAATATCTTACACGTATCTACGTCCATTTGAAATAAATCTAATCACACTTATTATTTATATACAGAGATTCGGAAAAGTTTGTTGAAGAGATTGCAACAAGAAATAGGATTGTGTGTACATATGACACTTTGAAGGTATTCCATTTTCGATTATTGGGTTTATTCACACGATTAGGCAAAGAACTTCACTCAGTCTTATCTAACCACGTATTTAACCATTGATATATGTATATGTGTTGTTCTAATTTTCACAATGGGAATCTTTAATATGTATATGTATTCACAGTTGAAATCACGAGTCGATCTTCGCTAGGCCACTATTAAAGTCCCAGTAGCACTGGACGGGCGTTTAATCTTAACATGGGGCTTCTTAACATTTCGTATCCACGATTCCACAAGCGGTAATTTAACTCAGGACCTTCGCTCTCGCACTCATCTACTTGACCTCGAGATTACCGAGCCGGCATTCAACGGTGTTAATTTCCAACTTAAATCAATCATTATCTTGCTCAACCCTTCATCCATTAGCTGTAACGATTAATTGTCTCATACGTGACATGGACTGAACTTCACTGGTCACGGCTTCTACTTAGAACTTCAAGAGTTAAATCTTGAACTTGTCACTAGTGAGTATGTGTTTGCTGTTAATATGGGGGATCTTAACGATAAAAATGCTACAGTCTCCACAAATCTCACATACCAATATATATATATATATATATATATATATATATATATATATATATATATATATATATATATATATATATATATATATATATATATATGTTGCAAATTTAAGTAATGTTTATTGTAGCTAGTGGATTACTTTTGGGACAAATAATTCTTTCGATTACTTTCTAACGGATAGATGAATAGTGCTCAATATTACACAATTTCTTTTTTCAACGGTACATACTGATGATCACATTACAAAGTAATTATCTACGTTTACTACTATGCATATAGAGGCTTATCTAAAGAGTTTATTTCATGAGATCTGACGCCTATTAAATAATGACTTCTAGTGGTGCTCGTTGTTAATCAAAACATGAGTAGCTAAATAAACTATGGAGTTAAGAAATGATTGAACCATTTTCAAGCATCGTATGTTATTAACAGGTAAGGAAATGTCGTATGTGTGATAATAAAAGATAAGAGTAAGTTCTAAACTTCACACCAGCAAATATTATTCAAACTTCTACATATTTTTTAGCATAAAGATCATTAGACATAAGATAACTTCCAGTAATCACTGAAAGTATACCGAAAACTGCACGGGATTTTTCATGATGGTAACGATTAATTGTTTAATATTATCCCTTGGTTGCAGGATTTTCTAATAGTGAACACGGTTAACACATACTTAATGGGATGCATAAAACTCATAGTAAAATTACTTGCTATGGCTGAAATTTGTTCAGAAATATAGATCATACCACTAATTACAACTCTATATTAGTAGAGGGTCATTCATAACTTGGTTTTAAGAAAAGATACAGTAGATAGATATTCTTATTTAAGAGTAAATTGAACGCTTTTTCTTTAATTGCAAAAAGTCAATTTACTGTTCTTCAAACTGATATTGATTCCATGATAAATCTATCGAATTCGGAAGAACCCGATTACACTTAATGGACAAATTCATAAATTTTAATTATAACTGACATTCCAACCATGTTTCTTCCGGCAAGTTGGAGATACTTTTTTAATCGACAGAGGATATTTTAACGGAAAGAGTATTTTCTTGTCAGCTTCTTTCTAATTTTCTATAAGCGTTTAGGGTGGATCAACTTACTAGAATCCACCTAAATATTTTTCATGTATATGGAATACCTATATAGGGTTCTAAAAAGGGAGAACTACTTCCACTAAAATTGTTTAGAAATATGCTAAGAAAATTTCTCCTTTCGAACTAAGACGGAAGCTTCTTTATTGAAGTTTAGGGAAACTAAACATTTCTCATAATTTCAGAACAATTTAACCTCCTTTCATAATTCATCTTATTGGTGGACTTATTCTAATAATTAAAATGATATAGGTTTGTTTCTTGATCGAAAAACATGGACCGCTTCATTCTGAAAAGAACAAGGTGTTTTCCACCAAGTGTTGGGCAGAAGCATCAATATTTCCAAAAGAAATAAAGTGTTCGGTCGTTACACAATGTACAGTCTGTGATATTTACAATCATGCGTAAATTAGTTTTATGTTCAGTGTTTATTTGTTCAGAGGTGAACTTTAGATAGATAAACAGTATCAATTAATTAAATGCACCAATATGCCACACGTCACACGGAATAATTTGAACATCCTTACATAGCAACGTATTACCTATCAGAATCTGATAATTATCAACCTACAGATTGAGTTGCAATAATATCTAATCATTTCAGATAGCTAATTCAACTTTATTTATAACTAATTAAGATTGAATTATTTTTTTTTTTGTGAGCGAAAGGCAAAACTCCTCAACCTGTGTCGTCAAAAGCACCATCTACGTCAGGTTTATCTAAAAATTAGAATATAGAATGTGAGTTATACATGAGGGTATTTCAGTGTTAGTCAATAATATCCATTATGTGTCTTTGTGATGCTCATCATTTACAGATAAGTATATAAAATTATAAACGTATGGTCTGTAAAATAACTTAAAAGACCTTGGACAACTTCGGAAGAAAGACGTTGTGTAATTAAAAGAAACATGTTATCCGGAATCACAGATGTATTAGTAGTACACTGAAGACTGGATATGGTATGTTAGATGAAGCTAAAACACCAGTGTTTAATTCATACAGAGAGAAGATATTCTTTTCTAACAGAACACTCATATAAATATTTTCTAGTGTATTGAACCATCATATTGCTTAGGTAAGCAAACATGAAGCTAATTACCCACTTGTTGTGGATAACTCCTACTGAGGCATTCGGTGAAAGGCTTAGTGAAATGAAAACAATTATAGATTTTTTACATCGAGATTTTACCCAGTAGCTATAATACTAAACGCGGTGATCAATAGGGAAATATTTGCTTACCTTACAGAAGTCCTTTTAAATATTTTTGTCTCTTCTTTCCTTTGGAATTAAATTGACACGTTTTCTTACTATAGACTTCTGTTAGACATAAAGTCACGTCATAGAAACTAATTGGTCAATGTAATCGCTGTATAGGTTTGAATACTGAAAAAGTTCTATTTTCTCACCATTCAGTTAGCAAACCGTCATCTGATATAAAACTGTGCATAATCAACAGACAGGAATACAATTTACTAGCCAGTATATGAGTCTCCTTATTCATTTGTGAATTATTTTGATCAGGAACAAGTTTATGAGTAAAATAATCATGAGTGAAAGGATTAAAATGCTACCAACCCTTCCAACAATGTTTACTATCTACCTTAAGCATACTCTATCACATCCAAATAATTCTGATATAAAACAACTTAAAGTAATAATTTATTGAAAAATTTGGAAACTTGTTGTTGAGATTGTATAAAACATTGATTTATCAAAAGTTGTTTGTAAGTACTGAACTTTAATAGAAACCTATTTTCCTTCCCTCATTTGTTTTGCACCCAAAACGATCAATAAATTCTGGAAATTCTTTTACTAAAATGTTATCTATCATTTTAGTTTATGTCTTCCTGTGCCTAACCGTTTATTAAATTTGAATTATTATATTATTGTTTTCCTAATTTTTGATGCCTTGTACTTACTAAAGCGTCAAATGAAGGTTACATTTAATGGTTTGTCGTAAGCATTTTGCCTTTGTTTGTTAAAATATTCACATAAAAAAGCATAAATCAGTAAATTATGCAGTTATAATCAGCGCATTGGTTACTTGTATATTATGGTATCGAATACAAAACACAATGAATGTTTTGATTGTGGAGTTTAAAAACAAAATGACTCCCGCTTTGTTCATTTGGATAGATGTAAGCTGAAGCAGAAGTGCTGGTAATAAATGCAGATGAGTAGATAATTTCAGAGTTACAGCCATCGAAAGAACAAGCAGCATGAACATCTCAGGTGTTGATCTTTCTCTACGAAACACTAACTTGAATAAATGTTAATCCTAATGTAGTGTATGATGAATGACTCCTTGGGAGAGATTATAATCCTTATTACAAAGCCTTTATTCGTTAACTATTCGATTGACATTTTGCCATGCCATTTATTACCTTTTGAGAAAAAAGAATATTTATCTTTTCTAAATGAATAAAAAATATTAAAACTACTTCTTTAAGCTTTAGAACTGAATTTCAAAACTTGCAATTCATACTGCTGTATAATGTTTTTATTAGATTTTATTGAGCTTCCCTAGTAGCATTTAAAAAAATGTGTAATATAAACCAAAAAGTGTAGTGGTAGCTAATACTAAACATTTTCCACTTACCAAACATCAGATTTTGTTGTGAATAAACCATCACGAATAGCTTCTGGTGACATCCATCTCACAGGTAATTTGGGTTCATTGCGCTTACGATAGTAATCATTTTTATAAATATCTCGTGCTAGTCCGAAATCACACAATTTGACTATACGTCCACTTGAATGATTATGACTCACTAAACAATTTCGTGCTGCAATGTCTCTGAAAAAAAGAGATATGCATTAATAAGTAATAGTTTAATACAATAACACTGCGGAAATCGATATAATTGCATGTCTCAGTTTTATAAGGTCGAATAGGACATAATAAATTATCAGGAATGAATTTGGTTTCCCTCATTAATAAGTAGAAATTGTCGGACATTTGATTAAAAATCGGAATAAGCAGAGATCTGAGATTAGCACAACTGCCAAACTGTCATTCGATTTCAAGTCTATTAAAATTAATTAGTAGCTAGCAGTGGAACTGAGAACATTCTTTTCGTTCTACATGTGAGTTGCCAGCTGATTATCGTATCTGGATCTCAACGCCGAAGATTACACTGATACTAAGACACAGCATCTTGGGCTTCAACCGTTAACCCTCTATCTATTTAGTTATTGAGTCCAGATAGCTATCAGATTGTGCTACAGCTATGAATTTAGTTTATTCAACTCTACTAAAATCTTAATTTTTAGCTTGAAAGAATAAATCAGCCATCGAGATCAATAACTTTCTCATAATTAGCAAGATTTTGTAATGCGTAACACATTTAATTCAACTTGTCAAATTTGAATAGCCATAAGCTGACTAAGTGGATGAATAACTGTCGCATAATACTGATTACCAAACAACAGAAGATTCATTGAGTCTCTCATTGGGGCAAAACGAAACAGTGATGCTAAATGAGTGTTAGAAAAATGTATCTGCATTACTAGTCAAAGATTGGTGTCATTTAGAAAATAAGTGAGCGACTTCATTTATCTTGGTGACTTGTCGAAATTTCATGACAAATGTGGAATAGCTCAGACATAGTAATTCTTTAAAATTCAGTTCTGATTAAATTTTGTACTAAATTGGTAAATTCCAATCACTGCATATATATTAGCCTTCACAATGAGACTAGAGAAGTTCAGTTGTGATTGTACCATAATTTTGACCGCAACCCCAGGTTCATAAACCAGTTGAGTTCATTACTATTTATAGGATAAAAGATAAAACTGTTGATCCAAGAGATTTTTCTCATCTTTCAACTATTGTTAACATTTCAAATATTATATTCCTATCTAACCTATTAGAATCCAGTCAAACATTTTAATTCTCTCGTATAAAAGTGAAGAAACATGGAAGAATGAAAGTATCTTATTTATTCATCTTTATAATGAACCAGAAATTTCACAAATTTAAATATTGTATTTGGAAGTTGAATAGTTGGAAAGTTTTGAACTTTTTTCTTCACATGTAAATTAAATTATTGTTTCGATTTTAGAGTCATAGTTGAACACTCAACGTCCAGTTGTTAAGGAATCTTAATGAGAAAAACGAAAACAATTTGTAAAACTTGTAGAAATTCATGCCATTAATAGTAAAAGTCGGAACAAGCTTTTTTGTATTTTCTCTGTTCTTATATCCATCTTGTTGCTTTTTATTTTTGGTACTTCTTGACTTTATTAATATGGATCAAATAAAGTTTTTCCCAGATTCTGAAATGTTTCACCTGTCAGTTTATTTCGTTTTCATTAGTTGGATATATGGTTTAAAGCAAACGTTGTGACAAAGATAAAATTTCTAGGCTCCATAGGGATTGTTTTGTCAAGAAGAGGTGTGTTCAAGATGTCAGATATGCATATTTCTATATACAGGAACTTTTCATTTATATGCTGTTACTGTAGTACAAATATTTTTTTGTTTTTCAGTTTGAAGTTTTCATCATTTATACGGAATATTTTCAAGTGAAAATAACTCAATTTATCTGCCTCAAATATTATTTTTTAGGTGATTGTGTTATAAGTTACTTCTTATATTCCTTGCTCCAGAAGACTGCAGAAACTGATCACGTTCCTTGGTAAATAGTATCTTTGGATTTATTAAACCTTTCCTTTTTATAGTTTGCAGGGACTTTAATCGATCAGTTTGAAGCTAATTTCTTACTCTTGTTTCAGATTGAGTCTTTGAAGTACAATTAGTGCACCATCAAAGAAAAGAAAGAATATGTCCCCTAGTTACTCTATGCTTTAGGAAAACATTGTATGCATTGTAGCCCCGTAGGCAAATTATTACTAGGCTCTGAAAAAGAGCTCCAGTTAAGCAGTAGAATATTTCCAAAACATAGATATTTTGGCACTGATTAACATCCGAATTTCTTTATGAGGAAAATTTAACTAATGATCATGAAAATACTATAAAACAGTTACTGGAAATATCTAGACACCTCAGATATTTGTTTCAGATCTGTGATAACTAACAGTTTACTAAGGTAAATTCAACGATAAAGCCTCCTCTAAATAGTCTCTGAATTATAGGATGCAGAGATACTCGTAGGCGTTTGGAGTTAGCTAACAATATATAATATAGATATCTTTCAAATAAATTCTTACTAGTATGTACAGTTGCCGTACCTAGAAATATTACTTAAGTGACTATTATGTATCATAATTTATCACTGAGTGAGGTTCAGTGGGATGGCTTATGAATCCCAGTAACGAGTTTTACATTTGATAACAATAAAATACTAGACACTTACGGTTTGTAACGTATTGTGTTGCCCAATCATGACCTGACAATTTTCAAAACGAATGAATATTCACTCATATGGTAGATATCATGAGGAATTTAAATTACACTTAAAATGTCTCAATTTGTATTAAGCTATTAATTTTGCACTACGACTTTACACGAGAATGTTCGTTAACAGCAGATTATAGTATAAGATCGTCATCAACTGTGATATTATCAGTAGTCTTAACACAATTTATTTGTATCAGAATGGGTTTTGTGGAGAATTTACGAAATTTCACAGGTTTTTAAATCATGAGTCAGTTGGAGCTAGACCACCATTGAAAACCTGGAAGCACTGGACGGCCGTTTCGTCCTGGTATGGGACTCCTCAGCAGTGCGCATCCACGATCCCGCACCACGCGGGGCTCGAACCCAGGACCTACTGGCTTCGCGCGCGAGCACTTAACCATTAGACCACTATTAACACCGTTGGATGCCGGCTCAGTGGTCTAATGGTTAAGTGCTCGCGCGCGAAGCCAGTAGGTCCTGGGTTCGAGCCCCGCGTGGTGCGGGATCGTGGATGCGCACTGCTGAGGAGTCCCATACCAGGACGAAACGGCCGTCCAGTGCTTCCAGGTTTTCAATGGTGGTCTAGCTTCAACTGACTCATGATTTAAAAAAAAAACAATTTATTTGTTTCACTATGCCTTCTGTTATCAAGTCATATATGTCACAGAAATATTTCATAAACACCTTTACGCTGAACCGAGTAGCAGATTTTTCCTTGAAATCATGAAAGAAATGTTTAGGATACTGACTGCAAACACACTTGTTTATTTATTTTCTTAAATAGTAAGTTCTAGTATTAACCCAGTAGTAAAGCCATAATGTTCATAATAAGTAGATTTGCATAAAAATAAGGGGTGGAATTCTTACCGATGGACAAAGTGTTGCTCCTCAAGATAACGGCATCCATGACATATATCTCTCATTATAGTGACTAGTGCAGGTAGATCTAATTGTGCTGTCAATGTAATAACGTTTGAAGCACTTGGCGTTCCACCACCCGGAGCTGTACTAGTTGTGCTCGTGTTTACTGACGAGCCATCAGAACCTCCTGTTCTTCCAGCAGCCGCACAGATAGCTGCAGCAGCAAAAACATTCGCAGCTATGTCAGGTGCAATTCTAGGCCGTGAACGGTGGAGATAATCTCTTAAATTGCCTTGATCCATCATTTCTAGGACAAGACATTGTTGTCCAGGCGAGTCAAATGACACACCGAAGAATCGTACAATATTTGTATGTTGATATTTGTGCATAAGTGTCGCTTCACGTTTAAATTCAGCTTCAGTTAGTGATTTACAATTTCTTACCTAATTTAAATGAAAGTGAAAAATTTGTTATTATATCTTTTCACTATGTTTAAATAGTTAGCTTATGATAAGTGGAATTTATTTTATCATACTTTCTTCACAATACCCACGGAATATGATGATAAGCTTCACTGTAGATTAAGGCTATTTTGCCCTTGATATGAAAATAGAAGATCCATAGTTGAACAACTTTCTGAAAAACCCTATTCGTTTGTATTTTTAACCAATGTCATAACATTTATCGAACTCGACTTAGAATATTAGGCCTTGAACCTAGTTGGCAATAGTGAATTTGACGTCAGATCTTATTATTTTTGATCAACCCAAAAACTTGCCATCATTTAAATACAACCAACTAAGCATTTAAAAACCGAGTAAAATGGTCTATAAATGATCAAACCTCCTAAAAACAAGATCAGAATAAGATATGAAGTTAAGAAACGTCAAGGATAATCAACAAGTTGCGTCAACAAATTTAGAGGAAGAACAGAATCAAATTATGATATTGACAAAGTAATTTACTACTAGTTTGACTTCAGTTTGAAATCTGCTTTTGATCCTGGTTCGAACGGTTGGAGTAATAATGATAATTTATTGGAGTGGTGAATGTCTGATAATCGAATTTGTACCTATTATACCGACAATAAACTATTTGTTAATTGAAAAATACTATTTCTAGATGGGGTTAAAAGTCATGTTACGTAGGGCTGTGGTTAATAACGTTCAGATGCATCAATAGTAAGTTTTTTGATTGCATCGCTAAGTGACATTGGTTCTAGTCCCTTGAGAAAGATATTTTTCAGGTTTGGAGATACTCCCCGTTAGTGAAAGAGAATAAATATGCTATCAAACAGTGAAATTTATTCGCTTAATGTCCATTTTTTAATAGCAAAGCTTTTTGATTATCGTATAAATGTGATTGACAGACTTTATTCAGTACTAAAGGGTTGACTGAATGAGAAGAGCTTCTACCCAGGGGTCTATTAACGATAACTTACTTGCTTACGTCTGTTACCTCTCATGGAGGAGCATAGGCCACTCACCAGCATTCTCTATCCAACTCCATTATGGGCAATTCTTTTCAGTTGTTATTCATCTTTATCATGTCTGCCATCAGTTCTCCAGTCTTTCTCTTTTTCGTTTACTCTCACGATTCAAAGTTAGCGCTTACGTCGTTATGCAGTTTGATGATTTCCTCGATGTGCGTCCTATCCACTTCAAGCGTCTTTTCCTAATTTCCTCCTTAAGTGGAACATCATCGGTTCTCTCCCACAAGGGGCTGGTATTCGGCCAATGGATGTTGAGTATCTTACGTAGACAGTTATAAGTACTTGCATTTTTTATGGTGGTTATAGTAGTTCTCCAAGTTTCAGCTCCATGAAAAAGAGCTGTCTTGACGTTCATATTGAAGATTCTGACTTTGATGTTGTCTTGGAGATAGTCGTCCTGAGTTCCCTATGTTCTTTAATTGTAGGAATGTGGTCCTCGCTCTGCCACCCCTCGCGTTTACGTATGCATCAGACCCCCTTGTCCATTGATGACGCTACCCAGATACGTGGATGTTTCCACCTTTTCAAAAGTTTTTCTATAAAGTATTATTGGGTTGGTGTTCTCTATGTTGAATTCAAGGATCTTGTTTTTCCCTTGTGTATATTGAGGCCTACTGACACAGAGGCTGCTGCTACATTGTTTTTCATGACCTGAATTTGTTCGTGTGTATGGGATAGGAGGGCTGGATCATTCGTGAAGTCCAAATAATCTCGTTGAATACAAGCTATCCGTTGTATTCTATGATTTCCATGAGGTGTCGAGGTCTTCATAATCCAGTCAACCACCAGAAGAAAGAGAAAGGGAGAGAGTAGACATCCTTGTCTGGATCCGGTGCTTACTTGGAATGGGCTTGTCAGCTGTCATTCATGCACGACTTTGCAGCGTAGTCCGTCGTGATTTTAACGATCTGCTCAGGTACTCCATAGTGTCGAAGAAGTTTCCATAATATTCTCCTATCTATACCGTCAAACGCTTTCCCATAGTCAAGGAGGTTGATGTATAGTGACGAATCCCATTCAATTGACTGTTCGACGATTCTTTGTAGTGTCGCGACTTGGTCTGTGCGTTTTTTTCAGCAAGGTTGTTTTCTACGGGATAAGGTTTTCGATCCCCAGTTCAACGCACCTCCCTTACCCGAGCTTGCGACTGGCAGTAGCCCTAGAAGAGCTACAGGCGGAGTTTCGAATAATTCAGTAGAGACTATTTTTTCCGAATTATTTTGGTTTGCTATAAGTGACCTCTGAGTTTCCATAGTGATGAAGGCTAAGTACAATATGTACTAGTCTAATAATCACAGCTTATTGAGTTTTCTTTAATCAGGTTTTTTTGTGCATTTCAAGTATTAAAAGTGAAAATCGATAAAGTCACATTCTTCTATGTAAACATTTCAAACAATCAAGAAACTGACTGGGATTTTTTCCCATTTATATTAGCAAATAGACACGCAAATGTGTAGTTTATGTGTACATGTTTATCTGTACATATACTTAATTTCTGTGTGAAAAAAGTGGACACATACCTGAAAGTATACAAGTACGTTAAAATATGTACAACTGTTAGATTGAACAAAAGTTTTAAAATATAAACAATTGGTGAACTTATCGATAGATATACTAGTTACAGTAAAAAAAGACATAATTTATGTAAAACGGGTTATTTTATAGGGAAGAAAGTTTTTTTCATTGAAAACATGTCAAAATCTAAATGTACTGATGTTTTGAAGAGAAATGGCAAAATTTTTGTATTAAATATAGGTAACAGATAAAACAAAAAAAAGAAATGGGAACAGACAGCCTTGACAGCAGACACAATAATAGTGGCTCAAAGTATAGAAAATTGATATAGGGTGAGAGATTTTACTTTGTCTAATACTTCTATAAATCTCTTCTTTTTCGAACTGTTTTAAGTAACGTTTCATCAAGTATAAAGAGTATTAGGTGTTTTCCTGACTCATTTATTTACTTATGTTCTTAAACTAGAAATCAATTTCGAATATTGAATTCAATGAAAGAATTTACAGTTCCTGATTCTGTAAAGTAAACTATACATACAGTTATTAACTGAACAGAATGAGAGGTATCCAAAATTTGGCTTCACGTTAGTAAGTATTAGATTTTAAACATTAATTTCCTAAAGACCACGATTGACGTAATCTTGTTTTTACTAAATGACTTTTTAATTTACTAACGTTTTATTGAAAACTGTCAAAAATAGGAATATGTTGCTTAAATTATACCCAAGTTCATTGATACACTGTTGACTGATACTTTATAGTTATAGGCAATCGTTATAATTACTTCATTTCGAGTCTCTTTAATAGCACAATATTTAAGCTGTTTTGATCTAAAGTCGATCTTCAAATAATGAAAAAGTATTTATACCACTTAACTTCAGCGAAGCAAAACTAATCCTTTAGTGTACTCAAAATTTATGCGTTCATATACGTCAGTTTATTTTATAATTTATAGCATTCTATTCGTCAACAATATTGAGTTAGTTTTAGGGTGACACTGTTTATTCATATGCTATACTTTAGCGGTATGCTTAGTTATTTTCAACCTAATTTAGGATTTGATGAAAAAAAATGTGGAAGGAAGGATGTATAATCAGCTTAAACAAAATCAGTAACCTACTTTTAGTGCAACCTTTTCAAATCGTTCCCCATTCGCATCACGAACATGTAACCAACCTTCCCACACTTTACCAAATGCTCCACACCCAATATAACGTAGAAAACGTATATTTGCTGCTGGTATCTGTGGAACTTGTTCAAAGTTGTTAAGATCAGGTTTACTAATGCCGTATAATGAATTAACTTCTTGATTCCACAATGGCTCAAGAGTAGCTAAATCAAGCGGTAAACCACTCGTCGTTAAATCACTACCTAGTCCAAGGATAGATGAACCATTCCCACTGCTTGAGTGTAAACGTCTTGCTGGATTGAAACTAATAAAAAATGAGTGTTTGTTAGACTTTCCATCCCTGTGACGACCTGGAAACAATACATAAAATAAATTAGCTTGTATAAGCCTAATTTAATTGATATTTTGAGACTAAATTAGCACTACTATACATAGTAGTCTATCATGATTATCGTTAGACAAGTTCCAATCAGAATTAACATTCTAGGAAGTATACTAGTTAAAGATACTCAGTTTTAAAAAGTAGAGCATCGTGGCTCTATTTAAGATATTGTATTGTGTAATATTAAACTGTATTATCCTTAAACAATATGCATCATGATATCATCTCGGAAATTAAATTAAAAGATATTAATGGTGAAAAGAACCTTTGATTTCACTGACTGAATTCAATGAAATAACTAGGACAGATTGAACAATTTCCATTCCAGTTTTCATATTTTTATCAGTTTCTAAGGTGCTTTGTTGTTTCATAAAATATAAGTCCTAATGTGACTTTGCTGAATCATTATCTTTGTATTATATTTTTTTCATTTAAAAAAAATGTTTGTCTTTCGAGTAACAAATGTTCATTATTTTTATCTGTTTAATAAATTTGGAATGTAGAAATAGTTAAATGAACGTGGTTAACTAATCATATTAAACTAAAATGCTTATCTTTCTTCCTCATAATTCAAGATACTTCCTGATTTTATTTAATACCCCATTTGTTATTTTGTTTGTCTGGGACCTGGTAACACTAGATATTGTCTGATTGAATGAAAAAAAAATAGTCTAAGACAAAAGAATGTCATTCGGAATTTCTATCCAGTGTCCATATTTTATCTTCTTGAATTTGTATTTTACTTTTCTTAGGTATGAACTGTGTTATCTAAGTCACTGTGCCGGTATTATTTAGAGATATTTGTAAATACCTTTAATCAACCTAAACATTTGAAACAAAAAAAAAGGTGACTAAATTTACAACATGCTTATTTATTATTTACGTTTCAGTATTAACATTTGATTCAGTGATTTGAATCAAGGTGTTAGACTTAAGGAGTCTAATTTGAATTGATATTAGATTAATAACCAAATTCTAACTAATGATGACTTGAGTCTGCACATCAGAGTCTCTTTTTTCATTGAAGAAATATTGATCTATAATGTTAGCTGAGTTAAAAATCTACGGGAATAACTGACCTCTATATGCATGAGAATTATTTACAAGTTTACACCATATTGGTGTTTACGGTTAGATTAGTTTAAGCTTTTCTTAATTATTCTGATCAATCAATTATGTTGAAATCAATCATTAAAAGTATATCTTCTTGTAAATCAGAATTAATGGTTTATTAATTTGCTGAGAAATAAATCAAAGTTGTTTACTTGTAGAATGAAATAAAATGGAGTTCAAACAGTAAGACAACTATCTTTACAGAGTTATTCAAATATTATGAATATTAAAAAGCTCATTAAACATATGGAGTTCAATTACTGATATCGTTTTATTGAAGTGACATTTCATGGGGAACCCTGAACTTTTTTCAAAGACTGATATAACGCATTATGTTTTATTACTGATTTATACTTAAGCAAGATTTCTTTTGGTATTTCTTATAGGTAATGTGATTTTAATTGTGAATATTTTTTACTTAGAAGAAAACATAAAGGACAACTATTTGAATAGAGAACTATTGTAATACCTTGGTTTATATGGCTGTGTACTTAGATTGTAGTCACTCACCATTTCAATGTCCTGATAGTAGTTTCACATTTAAGATCACATTGTTGTATGTTAAAATATGGCAACCTGATATGTTCGAAAATAAGAACAAAACTTGATAGATAATTCATTGTAACGTGTACTTGTCAACTTATTCTCCCAAAATGTAATACGCTTAAGTTCAAATGATTTAGTGCTGGTTTTTTTACAGGTTATCTCTGCCCCCCCAAACAGCAACGAAATTTATGCCGTTATATATTCAACGTTGCTCGCTGGATGTATAAGAAACAAATCAAGGGTCAATGGTTGCATTAATTACGAAACTGATCTGTTCATAATAGAATGCATTAAAATTATCTGTAAGTTTCTTCCATTAGTAAGACTAAGATTTAATAGACTTGGTAAAAAAATTTCTAGCATTATTTCGTCTGCCTGTTTGACTAAGGCTGAAGGATTTTGTGTTGATTTAAGTAGTTTTCTAAACATAAACTCATAGTTTTTTGTAAATTACTTTTAAGATCATTCCTTTGATATTTTCACTTCGGAATTTATGCTTTAATGTCTTTTAAATCATGAGCCATAGTTTAGACTGTGATCATCATTCTATTGAAACAAATGACTTAAATATTACTTACTTTAAAACCGAATTCTCTGATCATCTGGTGAATAATTTTAAAGTATAAGTCAAGAGTATTTATATTACTTCTTCATACTCAATAGTACATTTATCACTCGTTACTTATAAAACTACTGACTTCCAGTCAACATTTCAATTACAGAGTACAATCTCGTAAGAAACTCATGACTCCATAGATGTAAGCCATAAGAGTCATAAGTGTGTGAAGCTTGTTAGCATATTTCGATTTTTTTCATTTCGGTAAAACGTTTCTGATAAAATCATAACTAAATAATTTGTTTTTGCTATGTTACCAGTTAAGGTAAAATAGCCTATTGTATAGAATTTACTTTTCATTTGATAAATTAAATGAATGTAAGCATTTTACCAATCAAAGCTAATTTGTTACTTACGTCGATAAATCAGTAATACAATTAGGAATAGGAATAAGAGTAGCAAAGCAACGGAGAGTAGACTGTAGGTCAATAAGCTTGTCACTTGATTCAGAGGTTGAAATAAGGATGAATAAACCTTAATTGTAAGAAAAAATAAAACGAAGACTATAAAATATACCTGAAACATGAAAAGTACACTTGAAATGAGTTCGATAATTTTGACTAAACGAAAACAGTCCTTTCAGATATTGTATGTAAACTTATTTAATTATGGCATAGCACATATTAAGGAGAATGTTTTTATTTTAACTATTACTTACTGCCTGAATAATGAAAAAAAAATATCTTAGGCTTTAAACCGATACATCCAGACATCAATTATACAAATACTCTATTGATTTTATTGAAGAAAACAGTTTTCTTAATCAGTTAGTTTCCATATTCTGTAAGTTGATAGGTTCACCAGTGAAGCTTTTATTGTATTTCTCAGTGAAATAATCGGCGAGACACTAATTTATGGACCACCTTTGAACGAATTTTAAGTGACCTTGAGAAATATTAGTCAATCAGCAAACAGTCAGTATAGAGTAAAAATATGTTATACAAAACCAAGGAAATAAAGTGGATACACTTCTTATACGTGGTTCAAAAACTTGTCAAGGTTAGAAAGAGGTTCAGAGGTTTTAAAATCGTAATGCATGCAGTAGAGGAAATCATCCATACGGCTACATAATAGTCGGCCTCCGAAGCCATGATAAAGTCTCAAAAACTCTTTCAGCCTCGACCACATAGTTTCAATATTATTTATGTGCACTTCAGTTGTTGAGTACACAAAATGCTACTTGTGGATAACGACACGAAGCACATAACGAAGCCTATGTAGGAGTCTGTAGACTCTCCAGTCATCCTTATATATTGTAGTACTTGGCTGCAGCCAGTGTTACTGGTGCTTTTATTATCCAGTTCGCAATAATTGTCGTAATTTGCCTTAGTTAGGAATTATGTATGGGGTTTTCATCACGACCTGACATCAGCTATAATGCCAGAAATTTATTTAGCCAAACGGATGAAAGGCTTTCTCGATAAAACCCAAGGTTTATTATCTTATACCTGACTGATTCGTCCACAAATTATAGTCTCCCCGTTTTATTTGTTATAGCCGCCCAAATATCACGTTTTTTACAAAATTCCCTGTGAACCGAACGTACATTAGCATTAAGCACTGAAGTTGGCGCCGTAACCTTGAGATATTTAAAACGCCTCTGATTGGCCCATCCATAAATTAGAGTCACCAAATAATCAATTACGAAGTTAAAAAATTTCTTTGTATATACCCAGGAAGTTTACTTTGAAATGTTGCATTCGCTCTTTTGCTGATCGAATTACTGGATTCATATTTCCTTATCATTTCTATGTTTAAGACTATTTATCTGCTCCAGTTATTTAGAGGATATTTAGTAGTGTTTAACTATAATTGATGTTTACACAAATAACGACAAAAAAGGTCAATCACACTGTGTACGTTTGTGTTTTACACATTTATTAAATTACGTTTAGAAAATTATATTTGATTCATATTCCTTTGACAGTATATCCTTTAGTTGGACGGATCTTGTTCCTTTTTAAGCTGGACGTATTCCAGTGATCCCCGATAATTTGATTGTAATATCTGAGATATTTATTATACGGGATAACAAAATCCGTCCGTTACCTTGGACTACAGTTTTTGAGCTAAATGTTCTTGACAGTCCGCTTGATAGTTATTTTTGAGTGCATACTCTTCATGAAGCTAATCATTAGACATATTTCGGTACTTTTCTGCAAAGCAAATTTGTGTCGAATACTATATGTTTTCTAAATAGTAGTCTTACATAAGTTTTATGAGCCGTTTAATTATTGTTACTATCTTCCTTCACAAGCGACGCTTTGTAGACCCCACCACGTGAGTATACACCAATAATATAAAAGCAGTACGACATAAAGCAATTTATCATAAATTATTAGGGAACCATCAACAATTAAACATTTAACAACAAAGTGGACAGAAATAAAAAGCATTCATCCTGCAATTTTTAAAGAGATTTAAGGCTAATGATCAAGCGAAATGTCGATTTAATTCATATCTTTTTTACATTTTTCTATATCTTCTGTAAATAAGAACACCGTTTCAGAAAATACTTGTCCGCATTACAGTTGTGTGATATATTTCCAATATTCTACCAAAAAATTATAACGCCATTTGCAGTGAACATATGCTAGAATTAGTAGTCACATATTAGGATGATCTATCTCGCTGTCTGAAAATTTTACTATTGTTTATATTACTGAGTCGAATTTCATTTTGTAAAATTTTAGGCTAATTGGAAATAACATATGTGATGTTGACAAAGTCACATTCCTTGAGTTAGACGTTAACTTAGTCAAAGTTTTATTACCATACTAGATAATAATATGGGAAGTTAAGAAAGCATAATAATTTTGACAACCTCTCATGGCTACTGTGAATGCTATTGATCACATTCATACTGTTTGAACATCGATTCGAATTTAATTTTACAGGATCTTTAATACATTCCATTCTTTTCAATTATATTTAATCTGTACTAACATTTAAATGCAATCAGTAACTTACTTTACCGATGTTTGCATTGTTCTGTCTAAGAGGTATGTCATTAGTGAGTACTCTTCAAGAATTCAAAAATATGACAAAATATATATTTAGTACTAATATATTTTATTGCTGTCAGTTTGTCTTTAAAACTATTTTTAGGTAGTTGCCTATGTTTGTGAACTTCAGTAGTAAGCCGTGCAGTCATATATTCAGTTAAACGGGAACTTTACTAATTGATGAAAGATTTTAGGAATCTTTTCATGACATTTTTTTAAGTACGCAAAATGCAGATATCACCCTTTACTTTCAAACTTACGATAATACTACTGGAACTACAAATAAGTAGTTCAAAATATAAGTAAAATTTATATTGGTAGACATCTAAACCTTGGAGTATTTCGGAGAAAGTATTCGATTGGGAGGGGGCATGACATTTTAAAGCCCTTACACTTAATAAATACAAATTTTCATCGGCAATAGTTTCTTTAAAAACATGTTTGAGGTCATGGGATCTTTGATCTGTTTTACGCATTAGCAAGCAACAGCTGTTTTCTTATTCTTCAAAGAAAGTAGGTAATACAAGAGGTACCTGTTGTATTGTTCTTTTAGCTTGTTCGTTAAATGATTTCCATTATATAAGACTTTTTTATCCTAGGATTTTCTGACCCCTTCTACTTATCTGTCTTTGATAATCATGAATGTTTTCTTCCAAAAACCTACACACCGACTTTAATTTTTTCAATATAGTTGATCGGTAAGTTATTCTGTGCTTTAAATACATATGGGTACACATGTGTTTCTGAGTGCATCAAATATATATATATATATAATGTTGTCAAGAGAAACAAAATTTTTATTCTGTGTTAGACGAATTTTTATAGACATACATAGTATGTCTTCTCGTCTACAACGTGTACGCTGTTAACTATCAAGTCTGGTTGCTTTTGTGACTCGCGTAACATACTTAAGACTATAGAAATAGTAGAAAAGTGAATAAAAGAATACTTTCTGGCATCCGAATTTTTCTTATGGTAGAATTATTAATTGCCGCAATCGAACTTACATGAAAAGAGATTATTTTGAAATCGTAAGACGAATGTATAAAATATATTGAGTCAGAATCAGTGTATAAAAAAACAATCGTCAGTCAGATATATAAACAGAAAAAGCTTTTCTATTATTAAAGCATTAGAAACCAGCTTATTCATCAACCATTTGATAGTTTTACAGTTGTGATTTTGATAAATATTTCTCATTGCATATTAGTATAAACTGACAGTAATTGAAACATTATCTCTATGGTTCGTAAATGATATGGGGTTAATTTTTACTAGATATCTACTGGAAATCTTGTAATATACAATTTCTTTTGTATTTTGACCACCCGTTTCTGATGTTTATACAGAGAACATTTCCGCCTAAATTGGAATTTAAATCATTTGACCCTTACGTTGGATCTATTTATGGTTTAAAAATACGCATTGCCTTCTGTTTAGATTTGCTACTAAACTTTTTACTAAATGAATTGCTAGAATTGAATTCAATGTACTTTGAAAATTGAAGCCAAAATACTGACATTAAAAAAATATTAGCTAAATAAAATATAGACTTATCTGGAACTTTTTGAAATGGTGGTCTTATGATCAAGTAAGCTGGATCACTCATTCCAATCTTATTGACAGCTCTCAACTGAAATGCACTTTGGTGATTCGTATCCAATGTGATATTAGCTTGTTTATCTGTTAAATTATGTGGTGTGATTGAATCCCATTTTGGTTGTTCTGAATTACTTGAGACAATTGGCCTACAAATAAAAATAAAATATTAAATTAAAAGAAAAAACGTACACAACATAGTTAAACTAATCATGACCGTAGTTTGCTTATGAAGCATATAATAAACAGTATTTACATGAATAATTTGAAGTTAAAGGAAAAATGTTATCTAAAATCACTTATTCACTTATTTAGATTGGTATTAACCAAAGAGAGGTTTTTATCTGGCTTAATTTTATTTCTTCTAGTGTGATATATAACATAAGCAGTTGTAAACAGCAAGTAAATTCAAAGAAAAGACTTTTACATCGTTTATTCCCATGTGATTGTCCAAACATCACATCAAGTTCAACAGGACAATAGACTCACTATGTCATGGCTTGATATCATTTATCAGGTAACCTCAAGTGAAAATATTCATAGTCAAAAGATATTACAATCAATATTTATAAAACGATTTAAGTGGGGATGTTAGAATCAATAAAAGGTCAAGACAAATATCAATGTTTGGAAACAATTCGTTAAACAACTGTCGAATGGTCAAGCAATTTAAAATTTCACCTAAAATTTTGTTTTTATATACTCTGTTGTTCAAACAGAATTGGACTAGTGAATCAGAACTGGATTTTCCCAGATTATTAAAGGAATGAAGTCAGTCAAAGGTAATCAAGGTTTTGAATATGACTTCATATCTTTTGTCTCTTTCGTAGAAAAGCGATTTAAAATAATTAACAGAACATCTCCTTTTGTATAAATTCATTAATTGTTATTACATAATGGGGTTATACTATGTCGGATTGTATATGGAAATTTATCCAAATTACAATGTATACTATAAATGATTAAAGGTGCATTTTAACAATATTTAAAATATAAATGTAAACGTGAGTGGATTCAAATTAATTCTCCGTTTATCTACTGATAGTAAGTGCTTATGAAACCTTTCAAATTTATAGAAAAGTAAAATGGAACTAAATTCTATGGACAAACTCAAAATGATGAAAATGTTCGAATCTATATCAGTCATATATATATCCTGAATTTAGTAGTGCTGAACATATAAATTAGGTTGCACTAATTTGCTTTATATTAATAATTATATTCTGCTTTTGAATTGCATTTAAGAATATCAAACATAATTTCTGTTCCTAAGTAGAACTAGTGATAGAGCACGCATATTTATAAATATGTAAATAGAACTGGGGTTGGGGAACAAAAGTATGACCTATATGTTCTTTAGAAATAGATATTTATCATAAGATTTAGTAATTTAGAGATTTTGAAAACGAGTGTATTATTTTCAGTGATATTCATTCACGTGACAGATAATTCAATTTATAAACACATCTCCTTATACTTATGTTTAGTTCACGGTTGATAGGAAACTAAAATATTAAACAAACGTAGTACTGAAGAAGATAAAAGAAACAAAGCGTGACCTAGAATCATAACGAAATAATTAATCGAAAAAATAACTCAACTATCCGACCTGTTGTAATGGTATGCATATTGGTTTGTTTTATGCAGATTTTTACATAGTTTCAAAGTCATTCTTGTCATGAATCGCCAATCATTAAAGAACCATCAAGATTAGATATGTGGGTCATACCCTTTAAAATGCCTTAACTTTTGTGGCTTGAACTTCTAAGAACTTTCCGAAAGGAGCAGAATAGTTATTTGATGCTTTCTAGTTGCCAGTAGCTTTCCAGTTGAATAACATCACAAATTTATAATAGGCTTCTTATTATACAAATTTCTAGTTAACGATTGGAATGTTAAACCTCTATTAACTTCGGAACTGGGGATCAGAATAATAATTATTAGTATTTGTTGTTCCGCCACTCAGTCAATAGTATAACTGATACATACTCTTCCGGAAATAGAAAATAAGTGAATATGGTATTTAGTGTCTGTGAACATTACCTTTATTTTACAAGACTACTTGCGCATTTCGGCGATGATTCTAAGTAACCCAACAAAGCTTTTTAGTATGAGTAAACATGGTCGTTAGAATGAAGAACCTAAAGGACGATGATTTTCACCTTTTAGTTAGTTTATATTTAGATACTTTAATGTGTGGTTTCTGATAGCAGAAATAGTGTTAAACTAATAACGTAAAAAAACAACATAAATTTTAAGCTGTATATCGATAGTTTTCTGTTCAGTAACGCATTTCGGGTAGCTATTCGAAAGATGATTCGAAGTATCTATGAACTTCAATGGTGATAAAAATTAACAAAAGTGAATAAACAGAAATTTAACAGTTGAAAACCATTTTGAAAGTCTGTTTAACTGGTGGAAGATAATTATTGACATCAACCTTAAGGTTAACAGTCGCTTTATTCAGTGTATTCTATTCTTAGGTTTGCATTTAAGTAACTATATATTGTATTTTATATATTTCTGAGAACTTTTGAGAGATAGACGAAGTTATAATGTTTTATTGATAACAAGACTACTGCCAAATACTACATAATTAAGGAAATCAGAGTTCGACTATTTACCAGCTGACAATCCAATGTAAAATTTATACTCTTTGCATAGGAAATATAATCCATCTATAAATCTGCATGTATTGTTCAGAAATACAAAATAACTGGAGTATGGAGAGTTCTGGTGGGCGGCCTATTCTCCTCCAGAAGGGATAACAGGCGTAAGTAACTAAGTAGAATATTATAATATATGCAGTATTAATAATAACGCTTGAGTAAGTATCTTTTTACTAGTTGGATGAATTGAAAAAGAAATTTCCCTACAAGTCGGTAGTAGCAACGATAAATATACTGGGAAGCAATTTGTAATCTTATCTAGGACTTCCTAACCATGAATTCAGTGTCATTTGAAAATTTATCAAAAGTCTTTAACGTGGTTTACAGATGTCTCTAAGACTTTAGATTTTAATTTTAAAAAGAGGGTATCACATGATTTTTTTCACTTCTGACGACAGCAATCCATTCGTTACGTCAATGAATCAGTTGTATTTATTCATTAACAATTTAATAACAGTATTTTTCAACTCACCATATGTTCGCAATTTCATTTTACATAAGTGAAGACACCTGTTGTATTTTTGCTTACGCTCATAGTTTTTATGTTTGTTAGTAGCTTAAATTGTATATATTTATAATATGAGGCAATCATAATTACCTGATGATCCTTGATTCAGATTTTCAGGGAAGAAAAATGTAGTTTAAATCTGTTGTTTGGTGTTAACAAAATCTATAAGTTTGTAAAGATACTTTTCATATTCAAAAATACATACTACTTATAACTGATTTGCTTCAAGTTAATAAAGTCGTTATTATTCATTAAAACAATAAAGCACTCGATTATTGAAAACTAGACGAATTGCAATTGTTTATAAACAATTAATAGTAGACAGATTAAAGGTAATTGCCTATAATTGTGATGAACAACTAGATACTTTTGTGATAAGAAATTGAAATGATATCAAGTGATAGAATAATATCATAATGTTGGTTAATTCACTACGTAAGTCAATGGATTCTTATTTTATAAATTGAAGACATACATATATTCAATCGAGACCATAAGTTTTACATATAATATGGTAGGATGAGTCATGAGTATCTACTTAGTGTTACTTAAAAAGAAAAAGAAAATTCCCCTCTCTCAGCACTTGTACAAAATGTGATGTCCTTGACAAACGTACTTCTTCTTGAAGATTGATTCTATAGATGTTTTTTCCCCATAGGAGTCACCTTCCTTTTCCAAATTTATCTTATTTTAGAATAATGAATTTCAAATATGGTGATCTAATAATTTTCATATTTAGTCATGCCTAATTTAAAAAACAACTAAACTGTTTATTTTTCAAGTGATAATAACAGTGTTTCGAAAGGTTGGTTCCAACCATAATGAAACATAAACAAATATATAAAAACAATTATTCAGTATGTCGAGCATTGCTTTCATGGTATTCAATCCATTTATAATTATATAAAACATTATGGTAAGTAACTTAAGGACTTTTATGATATAGAGCTATTCAGCAATCAATTAGTGATTATGATGAGATTGTATTGGTTAGAACGAACTTGGTTGACATATGAATAGGCATTAAAAATCTTTTTCATTCCCTTATATTAAGATATGATGGCTAATGGTAAAGTAAATTCTTTTGACATTTCTTTTATAAAGTCCATCATTATCTATTTGTTTAAGAAGTTTTTCCAAGACAGTAAACTTTTCAATTCTAAAAATTTTCAATATCAGTTGTGTGCATGCAAAAATGTTTAGCTCATCTGTCACTTAATAATGAATGCTTAATATTTTATCAGAGTAAAATAAAAACATTTTCAGATTAATGACTAAAGGAAATAGAATGATTTGAATGTTTAGGGTGGATATTTCTAGTAAACTCCAGACAAATTTATATTTGATTCATAGTCACAGTTTGAATGGGAAGTGTACCTAACCATATAGTCGTATTAGTAGAATACTCATTTGTCTCCCACATGAAATATCTGTAGATTTCTTAATATTTCATAATAAAATTTAGATTTTCTTAGAGTCTCGTTGCTACTCTAGTGTGAAATAAAAAAACGGTTTTCAAAGCTAGCTGACTCCGAATTACGTATTATCTTAGTATATATAAATTTCAGCCATACCGTCCTGTCAAATATATATTTAAAAATAATATATCGTCAAACAATTCGTATATCTGATTCCGTCGAAATGCAGGTCTCGATTTAAATTTTTTTAAAATTTATTCTCAGATTTGTGACGTTGGACAACACAATATCAAGAAGTCAAATATGAAATGTTTTAGGAGATTATATTTCATCGAAAAGTATTTCCTAACCGTACCGTAAGAGTGAGTCGTACATATTTAAGTTGATCAGACCAACCAATCGTGTTTATTGTTGATTGTATTTACATATAGATGAAATAAAGATTAATACAAATAAATGAATACAGACGAGTATATATATATATATATATATATATATATATATATATATATATATATATATATATATATATATATATATATATATATATATATAGTAAATGCACATGGATGAAAGGTCATAAATTACCATCTCGGTAAAGCATGCAATGTTCATATAAGTATTCCTATTTGCATCAGTTTATAAAAGAACTTCTATCAATCTGTCCTGTTAATTGTTTCTATTGAGTTAAATTACAAAGTACCTGACAGAAAATATTAATTTAAAAATTTGCTGTGATCACCACCTTCTATTCCTTCATTTATTTGTTTCGAAATTAACAGTTAGTAGAAATTAGATATTTAGGGAATAAATTACGCAATGTTTGTAAAGTAAAACTTATCCATTGAAACTATATACGAATTAGACAATGAAAAATTTCATTTTTATTAACTTTTCATCATGGTTTATTGCCAATAAATATGTTTTATAGATACTGACAAGAACCAATACCAATCGAGTGCACAATAAGTAAGTTACACAATATTTCTAAGTACAAAGTTATCTATAATAATAAAAAATCAATAATGGGATTGATGTGAACGGGGTAATTAAAATCTTTAAATACTTTACAATAGGCCTCTACAACATTTAGAGATAATAACAAAAGTATTATCTCAATTGAATGCTGTAAATTCTGTAAAAGTTAGGAAATCACAGCAACGATTGTTCAAGGTTCTAAAAGATTTCTGTATTCAACATTGTAGTTATCTAAAAAAATATTTTGTAACGGTCAGTATGTCCGACTTATTTCAAATAACGAGAAGCTTTTTCAATAGGTCAGCTGATATAAATACTTCAATCAACTATCATTTATAAGAGGCATTAATTTATATATACTTGAACAGATAATTAGGAAAATAAGCCGAAAACTCTAATATTTCATTATGAGTTTTTCAATGTATAGCATAGCAATAATTTATGTCTTTTATAAGTATAAATAATTGGCATTCATAATTATTCAGTTCAAATAAATATAAAACAGGTAAGTTTATGACAATAATTGCACAGTTGGAAAATAGATGACTCGTACATTTGAGCAAACTGGTTTAAAAAAGTATTATAATTTTATCGATTAATAGTTACATACATGTTCTGATCATTAAAAGCGTATTTAATAATGAATAAATTAGCTCTATGTAATTCAGAAATTTTAATGATTTATTATTTGAAGTTTTTTCTGGAACAATAAATCTGTTCGGTTTCGTCCATGCCTTTAAGCTTCATTTTATAAAAAAGGATTATTGCAGGAAATTCTATCAGCATTAATACTTACATTTTTTTTAAAAAAAATATGCTAAAAACATCACTGTACATTAGCTACGAGCTATTTGTTCAACCAATCCTTTTATTGAGCAACATGTCTGAATATATGCTAATTAATGTGTACAAACAAAGAAACAAACTGAAAAACAGTGCTCGATATCTATCCTAACTATTTATCCTAATCAGCCACACTTGCAATTGTACACACACACACATACACACACAAGGGAACGAAGGAAAAGACATTATCATTGGTAGCTTTTTTTAATCTAAAATGACGGTAAACTGTGTAAAAAGACTTATGCATGTTTCCTAGATATCGGTCAGATGGTTGCCTTAATCTTATTTTCCCAGATGTTTCTGTAAATTATAAACATTATCCATTTCTAGTGATTACTGGTGTTTGCTTGTTTGTTCTTACCCGTCGACTATGTGGAAAATGCAGGCAATTATTATCTTTTTTTTGTAATGATGAAAGAATTACATGCATTGGTAAAATGTAATGAAATTGGTGAAATCAGTAGTAATCTGTAATTACTGGGGGATATTCATACAGTGAGAAAGAGGCTAATCATTAATTTTGATATGAAATATCATCAACATTAAAATGAATAGTTAATAAAATAAATTACAATGACGTACATAGACTTCATATTGTATGTAATAATCGGTTCTCCATTATCATCATTCGGTGTCCATTCGAGAGTGTATTGATTACCTTGCATATAGTGATATCGTAGATCCAATGGGGCATCAGGAACGTCAGCTGAAAAATTTATTGAAAATTATACAGGTAACATAAATCTTTATTCAACAGGAATTTCAATGGAGGTTTGTACTTTCTTCCAAGTAATATGAATCATTGGAAAGAAACAGTTTTAACTACAACTTTTCTAATATTATAAGGGTAAGCATGATATTATGAGACGAACCAAGAGACATTTTTTTCATTTTTAAAAAAAAATATTTGAATATTACACTGTTGTTTCTAACATTATCACTAATTTGTAGTAAAGCATCAGTAATCCACTGAGTAATAAAGTTGTAAAACCTCTAATTCTCTTAGTTTTTCATTGCACATAACATGTAAATCTATTTTTATCAGAAATTTAAGCAGATAAAACCTAATTTATCAATGTCTGTTTCTATTCAATGTTGGTATTAAAAACTGATTGGTGAATCACCTTTCTTATATGTGTATCCTGATCAGATTCTTTAAGTATCATCATTCAGTATGATTCCTTATTAAAGTTGAATAGTAGCTAGCAGAAGAACTCAGTACACGTGTTTCGTTTCTATTTTACGCTCGCCAGCTGAGTTTATACCTGGATCAGATCAAGAGTAGAACGCAGTATTTTTAGCTTCAAATGCAAACGCATTAACCATTTGGCTACTGAGACCAAATAGCCATTGAATTATCTTTTATTAGTATGGGGATTTTCAGTTACAAAGTCAATGTTGTTTATTTTGAGAAATTGCAGTCGACTTATTAGATGTATTTCATTTTTCAGTAATCTTGTTTATTAGAAATATCGTAGATAACTACATAGTTTTATTTACAGCCGAAGAAAGTGAAATTATCATTTTTATTAAATCAAGTTCTACAACAAGCTAAAATGGCTGTCCAACTTAAATTTGTGTGTAATTTGAATAACATTCAACAGTCTGCACGAACCTCCATACTGACAGCTATCGTGGGCTAGCTAGTGTTTTAGTGAATAGTCGTTACCAGTAGAGTTAAACAATACTTTGAGTTATTCTAATTTAAAGATGTAAAACAGTAAATACTACCTCGGTGGTCGAAAGTTAAGAACTCGCCGCGAAATCTGAAGGTCCTTAGTGCTGTCCATGATAAAGTTGTCGATGAGCACTCATTAGGAATTCTGTACAGAGACTAAGGAATTGTTCAGTGATCGCTGGTCTTTAATGATTATCTAGCTAAGGTCGGTTTATAATCTCAGTGAAGTGGAACAGACACGCGAATAAACAAACGAACTTCTTTTACCCTATAGAATAAAATAATCATAATATAATGGGGTTATAAATTCGCCTTCTGGTAACAAGAAACGTTTTCACCGTAGAAATGTAATTATCAAGAATTTTCTGTTGAAGTACTTCACTCACCTTGCAATTTTAAGCACTGAAAAGCAAAAATTAAACTTAAAATCTATTCAAAAACCTCATGATATGTTTTTGTTATAAAATATGGATGATTGATAGCTTTTTATCTCAGAAGAATTTAACAGAAAACGTTGATAAGAAAGACATTGCTACGTTTTATTATAAGATTAATTAGTACTTACGGTACGTTTTACAAGCGCATATATCTTTTGATCCAATCTTTGGGAATCGATCAAATGTACTGTTTTCATATATCAAATTTAGTCCAAATTCGTATAACCGGTTAGGTTTGAGTGAAGTAATCGTATGATTGCGATATTTAACTCCTGAATGTCCCCATCCATAATCGGACATAGTTGTAAATTTTGGTTGGTGAAACTGACGTCAAAATAAACCGATGTAATATGAGATGGGAATAAGGGAACAAGATATAAAACAAGGGTTATTGCTTGGTGAACAGAAAATATTATGTTTAAAAATATGAGTAAAAACGACATCATAACTTCATTTCATCATCAAATTTAAATTTTCTAATACAAATAACAACTACAATGTCTAAAATCTTTATAACCCATGTGATTTTCTGTTATGAATACTTTAGAAGCTAAGAAATGAAAATAACCGAAAAATCAAAGTATTATCAAAACTACCTACAAAATAATAATTAACTGTTTAATCAACGACTAACATGGAAACTTCAAAAAGTTGGTTGACTTAAGGCAGTTGAATGATAAACAACTTTTGTTTGTTGTTTGAAAACTCAATCACTCTTGAGAAGAAAATAAAATTATGAATCATAACTGCTCAGTGATTATATCATCGGGGCGTACAATAGCGTAAGATATTTCCAAAAAATTTTGTATGACCCTAAGAGACATTGAAGCCATACATTGTCTTCCTTTTTCTCTAGCTGTTCAAATGAAAATCATTCATTACAAATTAATCTAGACATTTTCTAAAAAATTACATAATGCACTACGGAATATTGTTTCAATGACTTAAAACAAAGAGCATGGACGAATTTTTTAGAAAAGCTTGAGAAACATACAGAATATTCAAAATGACATTTTCACAGAAACTAGAATGAACAGAATACCGGATTTTATTTATCTTTATACATTTACATTTTAGATGATCTATTGTGGACTATATTTATAAGGTTCTCCTGCTAGAATCACTTTCATTCGAAGGTTGATCATAATCTAATCCTCATTGAAACACAACGAAACGTCATTGTATATGGCTGTCAAAGATATAAGCAATGAATCACTGTTTTTATAACCTGTAAAAAAATCAATCTCTGTCCTTTTGCGATGGGGCACTCATCAGTCAATAAAAAACATCTAGACACAATTCACATTCACAAAGAATATGTACGTGGGACAAGGAGACTTACATAAACAAAGATAAAATTATGACTTGTGTTGTAGAGTGATTGGAAAAACTTTCTAATTTTCTCAAAGCCTACTTGATACTTGAAAAAAACCAGCCTTTTAGATAACAAACCGAGAAATACGATAAGTTCAGATCACGGTTCATAATCTCCAAGTTTCCGAACTATTTCACACAAATACAATCTTCTCTTATTAATATCATTCAAATAAAGTGATATCAAGAAATTGTGAAAGTAGTTTTAAGTTATTAGATTAGCTGATTATTTTGCTAAGATAAAGCGATAAACAATATTCGGTCCTTCACCAAATACTGTCTATTTTATCAACAGACCATTATGAGTTAGTGGAAAAAAAGGTTAAAAAGACGGGTTTTGATCTGAAAAAGATGATATAATTAAGCTATAAATCCGAACAATCTGGTCACTAGTTTGTATGAAAACTAAAGAAGGTCAATTTAATAAAAGTTCAAATAAATTTTAATTGGTAACTGTAAATACAGGAGAAAGGTTAATATAATATGGGAAGAATAGGCGATTGTCAAACCACTAGGCTGTAGAATGTACTCAAGATCAGTAACACAACATTCATAGTTACGGTAGTTGATTCTGTTCACACAAAGAGGGTTTGAAATCGAGAACAGTCATGGTTCCTGTAAATTTAAGAATTTATCTTTGACAAATTCCATGCAATGTCTTATAAGATGTGCAAATATCAATTGTATGGCTCATTTCAATTTTTTTTCGTTATTGTGGTTTCTGCCTCCTTGATATGTCTTGTCGTTTGAACGCTTTATTTGTTTCCTAAGCTATTACGATGACCCGCACGCTAGAACTGCACAGCGACTTGAACACCAGAGAGAAGACGCAAGTATGAGAGAAATACTTTACTCCAAGGTTCATTATATTACAGAAAACATAGGGTTTTTATAATATGCTTAAACGTCCTTAGGTTGCTAGAAGATTTTGGAACGCTACTAAACATAGTAGGAGTGTAACAACCAACCAATCAGAACCAATACATGTGACGTTTCGCCCCTTTGACATTTCTGGCTAAAACTTCAGATGAACGCCAATTGGAGGAAACGCTTCTTAGTGTTTCCTTCCCCTTGGCTTGACCTTTGCTTGACCCTTTGCGAGAAATTTACTGGGTTATCCCAACACTCCTAGATTTATTGAGCTTTCGACACGAACTGATATTTAGTCCATCTAGTCATATGTTCCATAACTCTGGGTTGCATTAGCCGAATACTCCTCTGTGTGCATCTGTTCACTCAAACAAGAGAATCGGTTAATGCAGTGGGACTTGACGTACTTATCTGCACTATGTTTAAAACTGGGTAGAATCACGGGTTTAGTTTCTTTATTAACAATCAGTTTGAGAGCATTACATGCTTTCTCGATGACCGCTTTTAGTGGTGTGTTAATCAACCGAATTATCAGTCATTTATTGGCTAATATTATATTTACAAATCATCTATTAAAATTAGCCTCAAAACGATTATCAGAAGTCTCTATTTTTTTAAGAGCCGACAACCATAACATTCAAATATTTACAATGTGATAGCCTAGACCAATGTACAATTTTATATCATACTTTTTTTAATAAAATGTAAACATAAATGATTACACTTATGTTAGTACTTATTTAATCCAAACTCCTTGCCCAAAGAGTTTTTCTGATTAACTCAGTTCAACCCAAAACCACTTTTCAAATAATACAGTTCATAAAGAAACAATCTCGTCATTGAAATAAACCAAATAAATTCACTGCGTTTTAAGTTATGTGGACAAAAGTGGTAATGATATGACGGTTCTATTTTACTAAGACAATTCACGAAGTTATCACTGTTTTATACGAAAATTAATTTTTTTCTAAAAGTTATTTTCATCGAATCATTAGTTAGTCTAATGTGCTCAAGTATAAAATGTATTTTAAATAATTTTATTGTAGTAAATTATCCCGTTTGCACAAGCTAGTGGCTATTAGGACTCGGTAACTAAGTGGATAACATAATAGCGTATGAAGTGAAAGGCACTGGGTTCGAGTTCCGGAATGAACAACAACTCTGGGATGCAGGTTTATCCAGCTGACTAATCCTAAATCGGACGAAACGCGCGTCCTGTATTTCACTGCTAGCCACCATCCGTCTCTGCTTATAATGTTTGTGACATCAAGCAATATTCAGACGATCTGCATAAGATGTACATATATCAATAAGAAACTGAGGACCTAAAAATCAATGAGGAGGTTCAAACAAATAATACAAAATTAATTTACGCTTTGATCTCATCGTCAACTAGTTAAATTAGTAAAGAAAATCGAAGAGCTGACCGTAATTAGTTAGTTCATGCTTTTATTTTATAATATCATCGATGACCTGACCTTTTGCTATATATAGCCAATGTATATTAAATTATTGGTACAGTAAGTTAAATTTACAAAAATCTAGTTGAATTTTAGAAACATAAACTAGCAGTCATCAGGTTAGTATGAAATGTTGATTGTACGAAACAAGAAATGGATGTCAATAGGTTTTCGAGGCATAAAGTAGAAATTGGTGAACAGACTAAAAATGTAAACATATGATCTTCACATACATTCACAATTCTTTTTTAGTTTTCTTTAAAATCTTTGTCTATCTACCCATTCAGATAATTTAAATTGATACTTTTAATCGTATTTGGTCATCGTAAATGTTTTATCTTTTCGACTGGTTTGCTGAATTTAATAGCTTGTTAAGTGTACACACACACATCGTTGTGTTTGGATGACAGCGTTTTTAGCGGGATAACATGGAAGTAAATACAAACAACATGTTTTAGCAACATAAAGTATTAAAGTGTAAAGTCATGGGAAGTCTGAATGCTTAGCAGAATTCATGTTAAACTGGTTTTCACATGTACAGATTTAAACAAATAACGACATTTGTCATATATTTAACTTTTAATGATAGTTACCATACTAAAATTCAATCAAAGAATGTTATGAGTATATATATTATTATATACATATAAATTATCAGCGTCTTGAAAAAATGAAAAAAAATGGACACATGTACCATAATTTGACGCAAAATATTTGACTAAAGTATGCGTTGTCACAACAACAAGAAAAACGTATTCCCGAAGATAGAATATCGGTGGAATGAAGTTGAAACAGTAGCTTTTACGAGTAGTTGCTGCATCATCTAAATTCGATATCTATAAACCTTGTTTCTGGTAAAAATGTTTACTATATTCGAAGAAAACATCGTCTAATCATTTATGTTATCATATAAAAATTATTTGAAAGTCAGGTGTTATTAGCGTTGAGAATAGGTTTCATCGTACAAAATTAACTCATTGAAAATGAGGAAGTAATAGATGGTCGTACGCATCTTGGTTATGGATGAATGGATGAAATTTTCTAACTACTGCTAAAACACTTGCATTCAATGTTATTTGCTCTTTGATTTGTGTCTCGCTAAATAAAACATTTTTTAACGAAACCATGACTTTTACTGCAAACCATTTACTTGTTGTATTTCAAAGGATTCATGAAGATCCGAATGGGAATTTACATTTTGGAATACAAGAACTAATATTAATAGTCTGATGTACTGTAGTTCATTTACATGGTTCTAGACTTTTGGTGGTAATGAAAGTTAGGTATCGGTTTTGTTTAATACATCCTCTGTAACTTTAAAAGAGTTCTCTTTGAAAATTTGAACAGGCATAATTTCTCTGGTCAGAAGTTTTACTCTAAAATAATGCGGTGCTACTGCGGTCTATTTGGAATGGCAGTACAAAATCCGACCCACTGGTTTCTATGGTTCTTTGTTTTTCCTTTGACACATTTGAAATAATAAAACTGACGACTGTTAACATTAGAATAGTGGATCAATTCAGGCATAGATATCTTCGAAATAGGACTCGTGTTTGGATAGGTGATAGAGTTTATCCTTTGACTTAATACCGAATT